CACCAAATTTTAAAATTTACAGATTCACTGATACCCAATTGCTTTCTTAATCTCAGAACATAAGCCATTTTCAAACTTGACTCACTTAGAAAATTTAGTTGTCTCTTCCGCGTAGTGAGGATAAAAGTTTGCCAACTCCACGAATTTGGAATCATACTCAATTACTGTTAAATCCCCTTATTTTAGTTCCAGATATTCAATCTCCTTCTTCCCACGGACATCCTCTGGGTAATACTTCACCACTAATTCCCTACGAAACAAAGCCCAAGTAATAGCCTCATCTGTGCCTTCTAGTCTCTGGCGAGTAGTAACCCACCAGTCATCAACCTCTTGTGCCAGCATATACGTATCAAAATGCACTTTTTATGCATCAGAACAGTCCAGGACTCAAAAGATCATTTCAATATCCTTGAGCCACTCCTGCGCTCCTTCAGGATCATGCTTCCCTTTGAACGGAGGTGGATGGTTCCTTTGGAAAGTTTCCAAAGCACGAGTCTCATCGTTCCCACCAGCATTAGGTTGATTCTACATTGCCTGAGCCAAAGCCTGCAACACATTAACAAGTCCACCATTGCCTCTTCCAACCATTACCCTGCTTCACATCACAACATCAAACAATAGTTAGATAGAAAAACATCGATAATATTCCTCTGTCACACTACACTAACGACTCAACAACCTGGCCGAACGGACTGACCTGCTCTGATACCAATTGTAACACCCCACTTTCCCACAATAGCAATTATATTAACATATATCAGAGTACATAAGCAGGATGTCACATACTTCAAATATTCATAAAGTTTAAAATAACTTTATTACTTATTTTATTCGAACATAATAAATTCGGCAGCGAAATAATAAAATTAGTTCAATTCCATGTCATTACAACTTCAATCAACAAATAAAACTCTACAAATGTATGGTCCAACATAAGTCAAATGAAAGATACGTAACAAATGAAATAGAGCAAAACATAACAAAGATTCCTAATTCACGTGTTACGTATCAGAGCGACTCCTAGGACTCGATCAGGTAACACTCACCCCAAGCACTACTCGGGTACCTGATTATCTGTACTCCCAGGGGAGCACAGACACAACAACACAAAAGGGGTGAGAATTTTATTCAATAAATATACAGTGAATATCACATGCTAAGGAGTAGCAATCACACAATCCACACATCACACATTACTTTGCAACATAACACATTGTTCACGTAATGCAACATCAACTCGAATAAATGCAATGCAATGATACCGACATCAACTCAATGCATGTGGTACCATTAGAGCATAATCCCTCATCTCGAATGCCAATTTGGGCAATAACAGGGCATAAGCCCTCATCACAATGCCATTACAGGCCAACAACAGGTCATAAGCCCTCATTGCTATGCAACATGCGACATCATATGCAACAACATAACTATACAACCACAAGGCATAAGCCTTCAACATAGTTATAATTTAGGCCATCAACATCATTATCATCATAGTCAACAACATCACCTTATAACAACATCGTAAGCAAAACAACATCGCAATAAACAACTCACCATTTTGGTGTAACAAGAGGAAACTATTCCTATTCTAACTTAGGTACTAGGAATATAATCTTTATCATTAACTTTCCTCCTTCAAATTAAGGTTCATAGCGTTATCTAACTACTGCTTCGAACGACACATCAATCAGGTTCCTAAAACTAAAGTTATGGTCAATTCAAGGAAGTCCAAAATAACCATCAGTTACTGTCATCCCTCACTCGGTGAAGCCCTACGTCGCCCGACGCCGCCGCCTTCGTGTCACTCTTTTCTCGGTAATGCTAGGCGCGACGCAGTCCAGTAGCTCATCCAAAAATCTGCCTCCTCTTTGCCTCCACCTTCTCCCGACGAAGCATTGTCGCCCGCCGACACTCCCTTTATCGTCCGACAATTCTCTACGAACAGGGTTTTCCTATTTGCGATTTTGCACTGTATCAGACTGATTTCCTGCGATTTTGTCATATTATAAGTCCTAATATGCTGTCAAAACACATGGTTTTATCACCTATCAATCCATCACAATACACCACTATCCATACATCAGTTATCGGTCATATTCCATCATCAAATCCTCTAATCCGAATTTCCATTACTAATAGGTTTTAGATTGGGGTTTTGTGGTACCATCATCATAGCAACAAAATCATCAATAACAATCACAATCATAACATCACAATTCCATGTAGCATCACATACAACAACATCAATCAAATCAAATAAAAGCAAATCATAAATCAATCATTCAAAAATAACCTAAGAGGGAAAGGAACCCTCACTATCCTCTCATGTAAAATCACCAATTATATAATCCATTCACCCGCTTACCTTAATTTTCAGCTTTGATGCTTCAACAATGGAGAATTTCCTTTGCCCTAGTTCTCTCTTCTCTTCTCTTCTCTTCTCTGTTTCTACCTGACAATAATTTTTCTCCCAAATGGTCTAACCCTCTTCTATTATATTTTATTATTACTAACACTCCACTAATAATAATAATAGTAATAATATTAATATTAATAATAATATTAATAAGAATATTAAAAATCTTAATAATAACTATAATATTAATAATAATAGTATTATCCCTCAAAACTAAGTTTCACCATAAAATGCCAAAGCAAATTCAAAATCAACAAGCAATGACTAAGTATTTAAATGGGGCGTTACACCTAACCTCCTCCTTAATCTCCTCCACCGTCTCTAACAAACCACCTGGAACAAAGATCAGACTTATATGATTAAATATTCTCCTTTCTTTCATCACCTTGTGAAATAACTACTATTGGAATCTCCCTCCTTAAGCCATTTAACTCTTGATTTTTGAACAAACATATTTTCTTTAATCCTCAAATTCAACCAAAATCTACTAGTCTCCTCCTTCCTCTTCTTAATTATCTTCGAGTGTAAATCTTCGGACACCACTTCCAACCTATCATCTCCCAAATTTATTTCCCTCACACTTTCCTCCACTTCTAAATCAATCTTTACAAAAACCATGTTGTTCCACCATCTAAGTATTTCTTTAAGGATTCTAAGCTTTTCCTTAAGAACATAATCTCCTCTTCCTTCCACTTTAATCTCTTTCCACTCCCTCTCTACAAAAGGAATAAATTTTTTCAAAGAAAACCACTCGTTGTTGAACTTGAAAGGCTTCGAACCCTAATCGATATTATCTAACACTATCCAAATAGGACAATGATCTGAAATATATCTTGAGCCTATAAGTTGTCTAACCACCCCCATCTATTCACAACCGTATCTGACAAAAGAAATCGATCGATTCTACTCCTTGACTTCCCATCCCCGCTATTCCATGTAAATCTTTTTCCTTTGCAATGCATATCCACCAATCCATTATCCTCAATGAATTCCCCAAAAAGCTCAATTTCTTTATTATTCTCCCTCACCACCATCCCTTTCCTTTCTCTATGATTCTTGACTGCATTGAAATCCCCTCCAAAATTCCATTCCCCATTCGTTTCCTTCATTTCTTATAACCTCCCCCACAATTCCTTCTTTTTACAAAGAACACAAGAAGAATAAATGATAACCACATAATAAATATGATTCTTCCATAAACCTTTAACCCCCAAATAGTCTTCTCCTTTGAAACTATATAACACTTTCATTGAACCTTCCTTCCAAAGAGTTAACATGCCTCTTGACATTCCCCTCAAGTTAGAAAAAGAAAAACCAATCTCGGTATTACTCCACATACTTTTAGAACAAAATTCCTCCATATTTATTATCTTCGTTTCTTGAATCAAAAAAATGTTTGCACTACCCTTTTTAATCAAAGAACTGATTCTTCGTCTTTTAAGGGCATTTCCACCCTCTCTAATGTTCAAGGAACCAATAATCATTTCAACTGGGTTGAGTTCTCCTTCCTTTCTAACTTTCTTTTCATCTTAGCTTTCTCTAGTTCCTCAATCCTGTTCACAAAGTTCTTACTTCCTTCAAAATTCACCACGCCCAACCCCACGATTGCCTTCCATAATTTATCACCCACATTATTATCTAGGAATTCCCACTGTTTTAAGTTATTCCTACAAATGTCCACGTTAACCGATTGGTCTCCATAAAGAATGAAGCAGCTCTTACTGTGATGGCTACAAAGGACAGATAAATTGAGGTGCACTGGAGCCTTCGAAATCCACAAATTATGAACCGACTCAGACTTTGTGACACCTTTCAACTTCTGTTTGTAAAATGATATCCCTTTCCTTTTGTTCTTCTTCACCGGCTGAAATGATCTCTTATTCAATAACCCACCCAACTCCAACATATTTTTAAATTTCACTATTTTCGAACGGTGACAGTCTTTTGAAGCTAGCGAACATTTAACAGTTCATATATTCCTCCCAGGAAAGGAAAAATTATGGGAAGAATTCTGGGAACAAGGGACTCCACCTTCATGCTTTGAAAAATCCAGAACCTTAACCTTCTTGATTGCATTGTCGAAAGAACCAGCTAAGCTGCCTTCGACTGGCTCCTTGTGTAAACCCGATGAAGTTGAAATATAATCCAAACTATCACCAAAATCACCGCCCTTCCTACTATGTTTACCATGCTCCTATTCTGAATCTGCAGTGTCTCTGTAAGCGGAAAATTCCTCAATGCTCTCTTCAGATTCCTCCCTTTCATCATTCTCACTCCAAACATCACTTTCATTAGACCAAAACTCCTATGAATCCACAGAATCAGACGAGTTTGTCCCAGTAATTTGAGATAGAGATTTACCTGAATGAGCACGAAATGAGCCCCACGGTTCTTCTCTAAGGGTCATCTCGTGGGACTTCCCATCAATTTCCACTAACAAAGTATCACATAATTTAAAAGAGACATCGACTCCCACAATGAATCTTGCAACACCGATATTTATGCCTTTGGAAGTAAAATCGTCTAAGCAGATGAAAGTGCCTAGAGAATTCGCCAACTCGACAAAGAAATCTCCGTCCTAAGCATGGCACGGGACGCCATAAACACCAACCCACGCAACTCTTCCGATATCAATCTCCTCACTTTTCCACCTCTTGACCTCCATGAACCATTGCTTCCAACTCAAATCCCACTCCCTAAAAAAATCCTCAGTAACACCTTGTTCAGATTCTTCTAATAAACATAAACTCTCACACAACGGTGTGATTTTTATCGCAAAATATCCCTCCCTCTCTAAACTAGCTTGAATGTTATCCGCTGAACTTAAAATCGCCAATTGACCCACAAAAGCCTTCATGAATCTCATTCTAAATTCCTCCTTCGAGGTGTAACTAAAAACACACTTCTTAATCTGATGGTTCTTCTCCTTGTTGTTCGCCACCACATCCGCAAATGTCACAGACCCCTCAACGAATTGTCTCCGCCCCCATGCCTCCGCTGAAAGTTTACACGAGGACCCATGTTCTGATAGTTGTTAGTCTTCGCCCCCAAGGTATTCCCCTCTGATTCCTTACCACCATTTCTCTCAAACCTCGAAACATTAGCATGAATCTTCTTCCCCATAATTTGCACATTGTCAAGTCTAACCGCCAACATTCTCGCATCCTCCACTTCAGTGAATCTAGCAAACCCAAACTTCTTACCTATTTTGTTTCTTTTAGGAGAAATAACAACTTCATAAATCTTCCCAATACACCAGAAGAGCTCAAAGAAATCCTTGACTTTGTTTTTTTTCTTCCGAAAATTCTGAGAAGTAAATCGAAGTCAGAACACTTCCCTCAGCTCTTTTACCCTCCGTGAAAATGTCCCAGTGGAGTACCCAATTCCTGAATACCGTCTTCTTCGCCTCCTTCCAACCTCCTTCGTGATGGAGATTGTCGCCGATCATGATTCAGGGCGAAAACCTAGGCCCCTTCTAAAGAGAAGGAGGAGCACTATTTTTAGAGAGAGAAAAAATTGGCCCAATATAAAAACTAATGACATACTTTTCAATTATTTTTCTTTAAATTTCTACACTTTTTAATTTTCTTGATTTCTTGCTTGAGAATGAGAATTTTTTTTATTAATAACCATGTATTAAAAAAATATTTCGCAAATAATCGGGTTTCGGAAAAAATTACGCAAATAACCATGTTTCAGATGGCTCCACAAAGGAGGAGCCATCTCATTTGGCGCATGCACCTAGGGTTTTGCCCTAGGCGCCATCTCACTTGGCGCCTCCCTTGGCTTTTAGCCAAGTGAGATGGCGCATGCTCCTTAAAAAGAAGAGGAGGCGCCATCTCACTTGGCGCCTAGGGCAAAACTAGGGTTTTTTGCTGTTTTATAAATAATTCGTCCGTTTCTTTGAAATTTCTCAAACTTTCTCGCACTGTATTTTTATTTTGTACTCCCTTATTTACGTAATGACGTCGCCTATGATTTTTAGCAGAGATGGTTACGTTATATTCTCCGCCACGAAACCTGCGATGAAAATGAAATTCTGGCACATTCACTCCATGGAGCGTCTGAAGCGGGAGTTGATGCGGTGGCTAGATGGAGACATCGCCGAGGGGGGAAAAATTCGAAGGATCCAGCGAAAACGAACAACAACCTCGCATGCGACAGGAAGACCTAATGTGTGGTTGGAGGAAGTCAAAACAGACAGTGATGTAATGCTGATGATGCATGGGTCAGATGAAATTGTGTTAACAGTTGTAATTTCCTAGATTGAATATCGTTAATCATTGTTGTACGCGAAAACCCTAATGTAATTTCCTATATTGAATTTCTTAAATTGTGTGAACATTTTTATTAACGGAAAACCCATAATGTTTACAACACAAATATTGAAAAGATTTATTGTATTACAAAATTTATGTGGTCGAGCCAGACGCCCGATTCAGACAGTTTTTGCGATTGTGTCCGACCTGACGGCATAAACCACACTTTCTTTCCAACCTGTCAAGATCGTCCATTTCTGTTGTTATGCGTCTGCTTTTGTAAGTCTCTTCTTTGGTTATACATTTTTCATACTTCAAATAACGTGTTGTTCATCTTAATTAATCTTAGTCTTGTTTAATTATCATCTCAGGATACACAAAGATTCAGAATCTGTTCGCACAAATACCTGGCTCCCGACCCATTTATCGTCCCTTATCTAGAATATGCAGGTTTTGGACACGTGATAAAGATCTCCAACTGCACCATTGACTCAAAATTCATTCTTGCAATGTTGGAGAGGTGGAGACCGGAGACCAATACATTTCACCTACCAATAGGTGAATGTACCATCACTCTCGAAGATGTGTACATGCTACTGGGCCTCCCTATCGATGGTAAGGCGGTGAACGGGTCGGTTCAACAACCCAACTCACAGTGTGAATAACTGTTGGATAGGGACATGGTAGAAGGTGGTGGAGCAAGAGGGCAGGGAATACTACTCACTGACCTGAAACGGCATTATGCTAGTATGGAATTAAATGAAAATTCCTCAGAGAATGACCGAGTAGTAAAAGCCAGAACGTATATTATGATACTTTTTGGTACATTTTTATTTCCCGAAAGTACGAGAAATAGTGTAAATTTCATGTACTTACATTTACTAACAAATTTTGATAAAACTAGAAAATATAGTTGGGGTTCTGCAGTATTAGCCCACCTGTACAGTTCCTTGTGCAAAAACGCAGTTAAGGAAAAATGTACATTTTATGGGTGCGCATTCTTACTACAAGCCTGGGGTTGGTGGAGGATGGAGTCCTTAAACCCCATCAACAACAACACTTTTGGTTTCCCGTACGCAACAAAGTAAGTCATTAAGTTATAGCATTTATAACTATTCTGCTCTTTCAAAAATATATGCTAGAAATAACATGTTTCTCATTTCCTTTAGGTACTGCGTGAGGGGTATGGATTACGGCAAGAATCCCAGATTCAATGTCGCACTCTACCGGAATCTATTGGATCACTTAGGCCCATATGACGTACGTCGTAACTTTTAACTTTTGTTCATTTTAATTATTTATACATTACTTTTGCGCTTACTTGATTTAAATTTTATCGCAGTTCGTCTGGAGACCATATTTGGGTTTGGGCCATTCTCCAAATCCAGAGGATGCAGCAACTTGGACTTCAAAGACTGCACTCATTCGGTTCAACATTGTGGAGATGCACCACAGCGACCGTGTGAAGATGCAGTTCAGAATGATCCAAGAGATACCAAGTGATCCAACAGATTTGTCCCCCTGGCATCTAAAAAGGGTCGACGCCCAGTGGGGTCTTACCAACTGGAAAGACTTTGCTTCAGAATGGTGTAAAATGTGGCAAAGGCGTCACCGCTACATCTTGCAATCCCCGGTTTTCCTTACTCAAGGTAACATGCGACACACTGATCAATATATGTCGTGGTACAGGTCAGTTAGTAACCCAGATATGCACGTGTCTCATCCGAGGTACTCGGTTGACCCACAGACACAATGGGCACAACCCTCGACTCCCCACCAACAAACCCAAAATCCATCAACCTCAAACCAACCCCCAAGAAGAAACAGACCAACAAACACACAACCACATTCCCCACCACAACACAACTACAATCAAATGCCGTACTACCAACCACAATCACCGCCAAACTACCAATACCCGGATATGCCTCAAACCCAACCACAATACCAACCCCAATACCAGCAAACCCACATACCCCAGACACAATTTCAGTCTTCCACATATCCCAATATGGCGCCCTCAACATCCAGCCTTATCCCTGATATGGGAATGTCAGAAGATTATGACCAAGCCGACCAAACCTACCATCAACCACCATATCACCAAATAACCCAACATCCACAATACCAAACACCCCAAGATCCATTTCCTTTCTACCCCCCATACTCAGACGACCAATGCTACCGACCAACCATGGAACCCCACCCACCGCCAACACGACCAAACTTCGAGGGTATGGGTAACCGACTGTACCAGAGCGGATCTTCGAGATATGGAGATCTTACTGATTTTATGGATTCGGATCGCATTGACTTCGCTGGGCCATCGACCTTGCCGCAGCAGGAAACGAGACGGCACCCAGCAAGAGAAAGGCGAGGACGGGGATGCGGAACTGGGGGTCATTACCGGGTTCCTGGGGATCACTGATGTATCTTTTTTTTTCCCAGTATTTTTTGTATCCATTTTTTTACTGTTCTTTAAATGTAAAACAGTTGAATGTAATTATTTTTTTTTAAATAAAAAATCCATTTAGTTGATCTCTGTCTAATAGGCAACGTGCAGGAAAGAAAATAAAAAAAAAATTTTTTTGCCCTAATTTTCTACATAGGCGCCATCTCACTTGGCTTAGGACTTGCCCTAAGCACTTAGGCGCCAAGTGAGATGGCGCCTCCCTTAAAAAAAGAGGAGCATGCGCCAAATGAGATGGCTCCTCCTTTGTGGAGCCATCTCAAACATGGTTATTTGCGTAATTTTTTCCGAAACCCGGTTATTTGCGAAATATTATTTTAATACTTGGTTATTAATAAAAAAAATTCTGAGAATGAATTCACAATTTATGTATTTCTTGGTTTCATGTTCTTTGAGAAATACTAGAACTTCTATGAGTGTTTTTAATTTTCTGTCACAAAAAATTGTTTTTTGAATTGTGAAATTATATTTCTAAGAGACACAATGTTAGAATAACTTATCCAACAAATTAAACCAAATTTAACACGCATAGTAATATAGAGTCAATGTAAAAATAATAAATAACGTCAAATATTGGTAATCTAGTTCAGTGCAAATAACACCTACTTTTAGATAAGACACTCCATCCAAGAAAGGGAATTCATTAATTTGAGTTAGTACACTTAGTCTTCTATGAACATGTTGTTCAATGCCTCTTTTTTATCCTAGTGACTTTCTATTTAAGTCTCTCCCTAAATATGAAAACTCATCTCACTTTCTCTTAATCACTAATCCCAAGTGATCAACTTCAATAACAACCCTATTGAATATTGAATATTACAACTCAACTAAGACAACACAACAACTATGTCAAGTTACTGAAACATAGAGTGGTGTACACAAAGATTCTATCATAACCCTTGTGAGGACATTAGCACGAAATACAAGTTACAAAGACTCAAACTCTAGCACAAAGAACATAAACCTTTGCATACAAAATCTATGTCTCAAATTTGAGACTTGAGCCTCCTTATATAACAATGTCTTCTAGATTTTTCTCTTTTGTATATCTGATTTGATTTAGACCAGAAAATAGTTGATTCAGATGGATATGATCTTCTCCTTGATTGAGTTCAACAATAAGATGTGATTTTTTATATTTCAAATTAAAATCTAAATCTTCATTTAAATCTGATTTAAACATTTTCCGTTGTCAAACAAATCAAATAAACATTGTTAAAACAATTTTAACAAATCTGATTAAATCCTAATAAAAAATTACGCACCAAATAACATTTGTATGACCTGCTGTCAACGCTAAATATTGCAATGCACACATGTTGAAGCATCATGCTCAACATATTACACCAGTACATCTAAATTAACTATTTTCCATAAATTTATAGATCTTATTTGTATAGTAAAATTTAGATAAAATTTAGATAGAATAACTCAAAATCATAATTACAATAATATATCTATTATAAGAGACCGGATGTTACATTACACATATTGAAACATCAAGTTTCACATGTATTCCTTCTACACTAGAACTAACTTTAATAAACTCTGTTATTTTATATGATACACTCCATTCAAAAGAAAGTTAGAGTTATATAATTTTACTATTAAACAAAGAACTTGATATATCGTATTTTAAAACCAAAAAATAACTTTAGAGAATAAAATTGTAATTTACCTTATATTATAAAACATTATATAATGAGATATGATTAGAAATCTCACTAACTTAAAAAAGAACACTCAAGAAACACGTGAGATTCATAAACTAATTGCCGAATCCTTTTCGACAACTTAATTGTAAATCAACTATAGACATTAAATCAACAAAAATATCATACTCCTACTACAATTACTTTCAAAAAAAAATTTTACCCCTTATGTTCTTTCTCTTTATAATTTTGTATTAGTAGTGTCTCATGCATAAGTTAAGCCATGATTTAACAAAGCGCTAGACATGCCTAATTAGTGCAAAATGCCAAAACAAACTTGTTCAAAAATTGGTAATTGAAAAAATAAATGATCAACCATTTACTTCATTATGTTTTTGGTTTAATGATTAAGAAAGTTATATTTTACACTTGAAAAATATATACAATGAAGAAACAAAAACATGTAAATGCAAATAAGTGAATGAAGCACAAGAAAACTTGCATTAAAAAAAGAAGTCAATAGAGAATTCAAAGGAAAAAAGTTTATAATAATTGTGAAGTGATTGAATACAAGAGAGGAACTTGCCCTAAAAGCTAATCAACCTAATCTCTTATACAAAGAAAAGGCCATGATAAATGAATTAATTATAATATCCAAATCATGAAAATTCCCCCACCCAATTTCTTTTACAACAATTACAATTACAATTAATAATAACAAAAAACCACAATCACCAAAGGAAATTAATCTAAATGTCATACATACAAATACAAATTTCAAACCACATACACATGCATGCACGCACTTGTTTGATATATATATCAGCATACTTCCTGTTGTTAATTTAATTTTAATATCAAATCAAAGTTTTTTAATTAATTAATCTCATGCTTTCTTCCTCACCATAGCTTGATGGTGAGGATTCCCATCAAACAACTCATCAATGTAAGTCTCTATATCCTCAGCTTGAAATTTTATATATTTCTCTGTTTGTCTTCCTGGATCCAAATACTGCGAAAACCTACCCAAAAATGATCTATAAGCAGGAATCACGAGTGCGGATATTGAAACTCTTAGCTCAGATTGAAGCTGTTCATCGCTCACGACCCAAGTGCTTTGCGTCTTATGTATCTCCTCAAACAATGCATTGAAACTCTTGAACCTTTCTTTCAGCACCGGCTTATGAACTTTCCCATTATCATTCAAACCTTTTGGACTTAAACAACTCAATATCTTGCTCCATGATTCTATTTGATAGTTTTTGTGATAAGTTCTCAGTTCTGTGGATCTTTTACGGCACCATGTTTCGCCCATTACTGCGTAGATTTCACCTGATCCTTTGATTTTTTGAACAATGTACCTTCCATTGTTCATCATGAAGATGCAACTTAATGGTACTTCTTTGTAGAGTTTTGCTTTTCCTTCAAGATTCGCGTCGAGTAATTCCATCAAACGTGTCAACTGTGCGGCAAACGGGGACACGTTTTCTTTCTCGTTCGATTTCTGATTCTCGTTTTGGCTTTGATTGTCGTAATTAGGCCTACTTGTTGAATCAGCACGCTCGATCTTCGAATGCTCTTTGAAAACTTCTTCCAATGTGTCTTTATACTCGCACGCGAGTCTCAGGTAGTTTATGATGTAGCGAGTTAGCGGGTGAACAGCGCCGCCTGCGACCGGAGTTTTTCCAGTATCCGATTTGATCGAGTTTTCAAGTTCGCAGAATATCAACACAGCAACCTCGCCGAGGCGATTCTTTGCAGATGTCATTTCAGCTTTGATTTCGTAGACGATTTCCTCCGGGTAGAGTTTGTCCAGATTCGGAATTGTGTCTCTCAAGGTTTCGTACATGTCAAGAAACTTGAAGAGCTTCTCCGCCGCACGTTTTGTCATCGCCACGCTTTCAGCAAAGTTGAGAAGCTGAAACACCACGACGCGCGTGAGGTTGGTGTAGAGTGTGTCCGCCACAGACAGATGCTCGGCGAAGATCGACGCTGCGAGCTTCCGTTCTCCGGGGAACCACACGGTGGCACATTCTTTGAACGTGTTGATCCACGTTGGAATCTCTCTCTCCAATGATTCCCATTGCATTTTATGAACCTCTTCCATGCTGATCCTTTCGTACCCTAGCCTGTATAAACCGTCTCCGAAACCGTGCTTTCTCGAAACGGCGTACAGGTGGCAGCATTCTGAATCATAACCTGCAAACAACATCTCCCGCGCTATTTTGTTCAAAATTGTAACCGCCTCCTCCTTAAAACCCGGGAAATCCATAAACGTTTCTGCTGATTCATTTTCCGACGGCTCCGGTGTTGCAGCGTGTTTCCCTTTAGCGTCATGCGACGAATCTGGTTTGTTTTGGATTCTAGATTCTTCCATTAACAACCGGAACTCTTCCTCCAAATACGCCATTGCTCGTTGTTGAATCGCGCCGACGCGGTTCAACAATACTGAATGATTCTTTTTTATTTTCTTCTCTTCCTTTTCTTCTTCTTCATCTCCTTTTTTATCTTCTTCTTCATCTCCTTCTTTTTTCTCTTCTTCTCCAGATTGAAAATCTGTGATAATTGTGGTTAAAAACTTCACCAGCTTTGAGACGCGGTTCACACCTTCCAACAACAATGAATCTTCCTCCACAGTTTCACCCCATTTTGTTTGATTCGAGTCGTACCTCGCGATTTTCTCTTCCACTAGATATAGAAACTTGTCTACGAATTCAGGAATCATCTCTTCGTTATTGTCATTGTTATCATATGTAGTAGCAGCAAAGAATTTATCAATGTCTTCTAAAAGTTTCTCCAAGTTTGGAGGAGGAGTTTCAGGTGTATCCTCGAAGGATACACCTTCCTCATTCTCCTCCTCCTTCTTTTCATCTCCCGCCTCTCTCTCGACATTATCTACATCACCGGCCTTTTCAGTTTCTCCATCCCCGTCGACGACATTGTCCTCGCTCTCTAGCAACGGAGAACGAGGTGTGTGGTCGGCGGCATTGGTGTTGTTTTCCTTATCTTCGTGAGGGAAACTGTTGGAATGTTCATCAAGATTCTTATCCATTGTTGTGGTTGTTTGTGTTATGGTTTCCCAACTCAGAGAAAACAAAAAGACACACAATGTGTTTCACAATGTTTAAAGATGAGACAACATTGGAGAATTATCCGCTTCGTTTTTTCTTTTTTAATTTTTTCTATTTGATTTTCCCTGTGTTCTATTTTTGTTTCTATGGTTATTATCAATTTATTTATTTTTTGCTCTTTTTTAGAAATATTTTTAGAGGTTAGCATTGATCTGGTCTTTGTTTGGGAAAAAAAGAGAGAAAGAAACGAATGGATAGAAAGCTTCAACAAAATAAGTATGCATGAAAACATGTCATTTACAGATTTAGTAATGGACACAAATCTATTAAGAGACTAGTTGACCATTGACTTTAGTTTTCTGAAACTATTTTTTTGTTTTCTTTCTGTGTGTTGCATCTTATTTAGGGACACTAACATTTAATCTTGCATGCAATGTGTTTATAAATTTTTTAACTTATAATAAAATATGAAATATCTTAAATAAATTTTCTGTAAACCGGTTTCTTTACCTTATTATTGTAATGTTTTAATCTTACATTGCATCCAAGACCATATTTTCTTTACCTTATTATTGTTTTTAGAGAATTTAACTTCTTGTGTATATTTTAGTGTAAACCGGATATTAGCTATATAGTTTAATTCTTTGAATTGATTGGAATTACAATAAACAGGAAAACTCTCAAACATATCAAAGAATTTCAAAATTGGTGAATTCTAGTTACCAGTTCAAGATAAATAGATACTTAAACCAACTCAACACATATCTACATATCTACATTGTTAAAACTATGAGTGATTGGATTGTAATAACCGATATATCTTCGACATAATTGTACAACTATCAAACATCTCTAAAACATATTTATCGGTTTCTAATGTGTATCTTCTAACTAAAATCAATAAGGAAAACAAGTGAGGTAAACTCAGTGAACCCTAGGGAACAACATACTAAGCCTCTTAGACGTGAGTCACACGAGAAGACACTACAAGAAAATTAGTGTTTAACGACACAAAAATTGCGACAGTTATGTGATAACTGTCGTAATTGACATATAGAGATAGTGTTTACGACAGTTGACACCAACCGTCCCTAATATTTATTTTGCGACGGTATATTTAACCATCATAATATTATTATTACGACGGTAAAACAACCGTCGGCCCCCATTTAACACTTTTAACATTGATTTTTCACCAACAACTAGTCACGACGGTAAAATTAATCGTCCTAAAATGCATATCACGACGGTAAAGCACCCGTCGCACCCTTAAACCTTTCACGACGGTAAAATTATTCGTCCTAAAATTCATTTCACGACGGTAAAACAACCGTCGCACCCAAAACCTTTAAAAATTCTCATGGGCACGACGGTAAAACACCCGTCGCCGTAAAAAAGTTAAAAAGCTCTTAAAATACATAAAACATCAATTCACTTTCTACTCCTGCGTTCACTTTTTCTACTCACGGTGTCGTTCATGCCGTTCTTCTTCACACCGAAAGAAACCCCTTGACACCGAAAGGAATCTCTTCAAACCGCTCATCTTCACACCAAAAAACGCACAGCAAGCAGTTTAACATCCTCTGCGTTCATCTCTTCAAACACAGTAAATTTTATGTATCACTTTTTGCATTGTTCTCATCTCTCTCATTCTCTGCCATTGATTTCAGCATTGGAGATTCACTTGAATCTTATGGTTGAGCTCTTTGTGATGATTGATTTTGAGTTTGAATATATTGAATTGATGTTAGGTTTTCTAATTTGTTGTTTTAGGGTTTTATTTTTTTTAATGATTTTTTAGGATAATATTTGGTTAGGATAAAATATGTATCGTCCCTTATCCATTCTATGATACTGAATTTTGTCCAAACTCAAGCCATAAATCTTCCAACAACAACCGATAACATCATCGTCATCATCAATGACAACCTTTTCAACTGAATTCTTATCACACACTCTCAATTTCAGAAACCACCCAAACCGCACTTCTCGCCGTTCAAATCCCAACACTATTGTCACTTCCTCAACCCCAGGCAACACCAACAACCGAAGAACAAGAATCAGGGTCAATGAAACAAGGCCAAAACTTGATCAAGATTACGATGAAGCTCTCATTAGGTCATTCAAATCAGCTAAGTACAATCGAGCTCTCCGCTTTCTTAAGCGCATGGTTGACAGGGGTTATAAACCTGATGCCATTCTCTGCACTAAATTGATTAATGGTTTTTTCAATTCTAAGAAAACCCAGAAAGTTATTCGGGTCATGGAGATTTTGGAAAAGCACGACCAGGCTGATGTTTTTGCGTATGAAGCACTTTTAAATGAGTACTGTAAAGCTGATATAGTTGATGCTGCCAATAAGGTGCTTGATAGAATGAAAAAGAGAGGTTTTTTACCTGATGTTGTTACTTATAGTATTCTCATTGGGAGTCTTTGTGGGAGGGGTAAACTTGATTTGGCTTTAAGGGTTATGGATCACTTGTTGAAAGATAATTGTAGGCCAAATGTTATAACTTATACTATTTTGATTAAAACAACTATTATTGAAGGTGGTATTGATAAGGCTATGAAGCTTTTGGATGAGATGTTGTCGAGAGGGCTTCGACCTGATGTGTCTACTTATAATGTTGTTGTTAAAGGTATGTGTAAAGAAGGGTTGTTGGATAGAGCTTTTGAGTATCTTAGTAGTATAAGTTGTAAGGGTTGTGTTGCTGATGTGAGTCCTTATAATATTCTGTTGAAGAATCTTTTGAAAGAAGGGAAATGGGAAGCTGGAGAGAGTTTGATGTCTGATATGTTGGATAAAGGTTGTGAGCCGAGTTGTGTGACATACAGCATATTGATTTGTTCACTTTGTCGTGATGGTAAAATTGTTGAGGCTGAGAATGTGTTGAAGGGTATGAAGAAGAGAGGGTTGGCTCCTAATGCTTATTGTTACAATCCATTGATTTCTGCTATTTGTAAAGAAGGAAAAGTAAATTTGGCTATAGAGTATTTAAATAACATGATATCAGATGGTGGTTTGCCTAGTATTGTTTCCTATAACTCGATCTTGGCTTCTCTGTGTAAGAATGGACATGCTGATGAGGCTTTGAACATCTTTGAGAAGCTCGGTGAAGTGGGTTGTCCTCCAAATGCAATTTCTTATAATACATTGTTTGGTGCATTGTGGAGCAGCGGCGATGAAATTAGAGCGTTGGGGATGATTTTGGATATGTTAAGCAAAGGCATTGATCCTGACAAGGTCACCTATAGTTCACTTATTTCTTACTTGTGCAGAGATGGATTCATGGATCAGGCAATTGAGTTGTTGGTTGACATGATGGAGAGTCACAAGTATCAGCCTGCTGTTATTAATTACAATGATGTTATTTATGGATTGTGCAAGGTACAAAGAATCATAGATGCTATTGAGGTGCTTGCTGCTATGAATCAGAGAGGATGTGTGCCAAATGAAAAAACCTACATATTGTTGATTGAAGGGATTTAATGGATCTTGATGAGTGCTTACGCCAGTTGAAATTTCATTTGCACCATGCTCAAGTTAGAATGAAACCTTTAGCTGATGCTCACAGGAATGATGTAGTTTCAAGTTCGTGATTGGGTTTTCCTGAAATTGCATCCGCGTGTTCAGCAGTCAATAGAGGTGCGCATCAGTCCTAAGTTCGCTCCACGTTATTATGGTCCATTTATGTTGCTGGCTAGCTAGAATTGGAGAGGTGGCTTACAAGCTGCAGCAACCAGCCACAGCAAAGACACACCCTGTCTTCCACGTGTCTTTGCTTAATAAGGCAAAGGGGAATTATGATGTTGAGAAAGAGCTGCCTCGAAGCTTGGACATTGATTTATCTAGTACTTCGGAGCCAATTGTGGTTTTAGCGGCACGAGAGGTGAATAAATATGGGGAGTTACTCCGTCAATTTTTGATCCACTGGAAAGGAAAAGCTGTGGAAGAAGCGACTTGGGAAGATGAATTCACCATTCGCAGTCAGTTTCCTAACTTCAGACTTGAGGACAAGTCTGGAAGTTTGGGAGGGAGTATTAATAGGGACGTAAGCGACAGAATGGGCTTAGGCATGCATAATGGGCCCAAAGTTGTTTCCTACTGCTGCTATCACTTTTCATCAATCATAACAATGCTTTCTCTTATTCTGCATTGGTATTATTTACTGTTTAATTCCCTAGAAATATGGTTTGCATCACAATAGCACGTCATTTTACATGAGTGTGATGTCTGTTCCATCAGTCCAGGGTAGCATAAGAGCTTCCAAAAGGAATTTGATCTATATAATAGAGATTTACATACATTTTAGACACCGCATCTGCCATAAGCAAAAAAGAAATAGTGGTTTACATCTCTTGATGTAGTGCTGCTTGTGCAGTCTAGAGTAACCAAACTAATCAAAATGCAGCAACATGGGGGAATGAAAGAACCAGGATAGAAGAATTTAAATTAAATGTCAAAGCTTCCAACTAAAAGTGCAGAGTGTAAACATTTATCCCAAAAACAAAAGGTATGGTGCAAACATGAAAGGGATGCTGTATCGCTGGGCAATACAAGGTAGAAAGAGTATGTCCTCTAGAAAGCATAAGCTATGTAGAAAATCATGATATAAATGCATTGAATCGAACAAAAAGTAAAAGAATCGTTACCACAGGTCCATGAAGAGGATCAGAAGCGATGAATTCCTCAACATCAGAGTCAGACCAGGAAGTGAGGGGTTTATCACGCTTGATGAAGTTGGAATAATTGCTCATAAACGAAAACCTCTCGCCCCAAAACTCTTTGTAGCCTTCCCAGAAAGACTGAGGTGATGAATCTTGCGTGTTACCTGCCATCGCCACCGTTTTCCCCCTTCAATTGTTTCACTCTGCAGTCACAAAACAAGAAAGAGTTATATGACCTGTAATTGATCATTATGTTTTGTAAGGGGAAAAGAGTTATATGACCTTCGCATGATTTAACTTTTATTACAGTAGG